GCTGAGGTCGAATCCTTTACATTCACTCACGTACTAATACCCTTGGGAAAGGTATCAATCCTCTTCTTCTCCCTCCAGCTATGGGTAAATATCAGGACAGACTGGGTTGTATAGCCTTTGATGGCAATTGGTCTAAGAGAAGGACAACTCTGAATTCAAAACCTGCAAAGGGTCGTTTGGGGACACTGTGGCACGTAGTGCACCAAATCTCTGTTTTCGGCCCTTCAAAAAGCGTGGATGGTTCTGCACAAAACCTTCACCACTATAATCAAATCTCATGTGCTGGCGTCGGACTGTTAGTTTTCTAGGAACTGATCTGCTTGACCCTCATACTTTGAATTCGAAGGGAGTTTCAGTATATATATATATATATATATATATATATATATATATATTAGTCTATGTGTATATATTTGTTTACATATATGTGTGTGCATATACATGCATATATATACGTGTATATATATTTTTGTATACACACTTGTATATATGTGCGTGTGTGTATACATGTGTGTATGTGTGTATATATATATATATATATATATATATATATATATATATATATATATATATATATATATATATATATATATGATAAAATATAGTTTTAATGTATGCTATATTTATGTATGTAAATATAAAAGTGGACATTGAAGACACCCAGCGGCGAGTATTTTTCATGCTTAGACGCAATCGCCAAGCCAAACGATTTGGTTTAAGCATGAGACACAATGTCGCCTCTCGGTTCTGGTTTTAATGCCCACATATATATTCGATAAACATTAATTTATAAACTATTCGAAATAATATATTAAAATCTATTATTACTCATGAAAAACAACAATCGCTGTTTGCAGCAACCAAAGTGAGAATAAAAAGAGTCGTTCTTACCGTAGCAACATCATCATACGATTTTTGTTTCTTAAGTTGAGAAATTTCACACAAGAAAGCACTTTATGACCTCACTTAGGTTTACTTTGAACTATTAAATAAACAAACTTCGATTGTTTGTTTCTCGAACTGTCCGCGAATAAGTGAAACCATGAATACAAAAACCGCGTATATGTTAAAACTTATGTATTTCACAGCCAAAAGCCTGTTTGCTTTTTAAGTGAAAGATAAGAAATAAAATATTGATTTTCTAAGCAGGCCTTCTCCAGTGCTAAATTGATTCAACTCCGATCTTTTTGACATCATGTCACTCTTATTTTGTTACATGACGTCGTCTTCTCTATGCACCACAACTCTTCAGGACATAGGCGATAATGGACCTCCACAATTTCCTGTCCTTCGTGGTTCTTAATAAATTTTGTCTTTTTATCATTTCTCATAAACCTTGTTTACTCAATCCCTCTAAGTTGTTTATGGTTATTTTCTAAGCGTAGCTTTGATATGGTACAAGGCCGAAAGTTTGCGACACCTAGAGAGGATCGAACTCACTTTTGAGTCGTAATTGATCAACCGAGACAAGCTTGCTAACCATTACACGACATTGAAGGGCCCTTAGGATTTTCTAAGCGTAGCTTAGATGTGGCACAAGGTCGAAAGTGTGGCGCTCCCAGTTAGGGTCAAACTCACCATTCAATCGTTCTATTGATTCAAACTTGCTCACTATTATACCAAGCAGAGGTCCCCACTTAATTTGCTTATGAGTTGTTTTCCTATATCCTTCTTGTCTTCAATGCGTCCTGTGAGTGTCAAACTCTCTAATCCCTCTTTCCCCATTATTTGCCTAGGAAATATCTCATCATGGTGTTAAGTACAATTTTTTTTTTTTTTTTGGTTTCCATTTTCTCTAAAACTTTGTCGTTACTCACAAATTTGCTCCATGGTATCCTCAACATCCTTCTGTAGAACCACATTTCTGTTACTTTAGTTCTTTTCTTCGTATGGGAGGATATTTTCCTGCATTCACCACCATATAGAAGGACTGATATCACGTAACATTTGGGCACTCTTTTCTTTGTCTCTAACGAAGTTTTTCTGTTTTCTTAATACTCTGAAATGCATCCCGAAGTTTAAAAAAATTCCCAGGTGCCTAGATACGCAGCGTTTATACCATTTGCTGTTGCGCATTTAATCGTCGCCCATACGATTTATCAAACGCCGAGGAATAAGACACAGGACATTTATTTAGAGTCGGACCACAAGCGTTAGAAAAAGAACTATAACATGTTTCGTTATCTTGGTTTGCCTTTAACATGTCATAACAATAAGGATATCATGGACTGAACATGTTAACAACGACGAGGTTTTAGAGAAAATGGAAACAAAAAAGAAACTTATACTTAACATCAGGAAGAGACATTTCTAAGGTAATAATGACAAAAGACGGCTTCGGAAATCTGATACTCACAGGGCGGATTGAAAACAAGAAGACGAATACCCAGAAGTCAGGTCTTTTCCTCAAACAAATACAAGCCTGGCGACGCATAATATCAGCTAAAAAATATCATCCACTAAAAGCAAATTCATTAAAACGCAAAAAAGTCGTCTTCATTTTATCAAGTAAAAACTGCAGTTTATATGCGAGAACAAAACACGCTCCCTCACCAAAAAAAAAAAAAAAAGTTAGCTGCTTAAGACAAATTATATTAAAAATCTGTTGGACAATGATCTAACCACAGATGATCACATCAACATAGAATATCTTCTTCTACCTTTCATTGAAACAGCTTTATACACAAATCTTTTTCTTGATGTTTTTTTTCTATATACTTAATGAGAGAGACGTAGATAATTAGGAATGTGTTACAGAAAATAATAAAAAAAATTCGATTTAGTAAACCTCCCATCTAAAATAATATAACCCACCCTTCAGTCAAAAATTTGTTTTTCCGTCCATTTCGTGAAAACTGGGAAAATGAAAATCCAGTCGAATGTCATATTCATTAACAATGGCATATTTTGGACATGTGTCAAAGCTAGAAAAAAAGTTCAATTCTCACTGCTTCTAGAGTTCCATGTTCGAATTCAGGTAAAAACCAAATTATGAATGCAAATTTTCTAAGCAGGTATATTTATAATATTGATTCAATTCAATCTTTCTACCTCTTTTTAGTCTGACGCTATTCTAAGCCTTCTTATTTTTCTTCTATGTATCTTGTGCCTTCAAAACGTTGGCGATAATGGTTCTCTACAATAATTTTTTTGTTATCTCTCTTAATCCTTGTCCCGATATCCATTTACTCAAGATCTCTAGGTAGGTTCTGCTTTCGTTTCCTCTTTCCAACTTACCTTCAAACTGTCTCGTGAGTATCAAATTTTCCAAGCCGTCTGTCTTCATTATGCGGCCTAGCGCAGTAAATAATTATTTTACACAAAGAAAAACAAGTTGAAAGTAAAGAGGAATTTCATTGTATGAGAAAAGGTGAGATATCAGCATAAATGTCTCCAGTGCTAAAATCGGAGATTCGGGTTCTGATAAAATCTATAATTTTGAATGCTTATCATTCAAAATTTCGAGAACCCCCACCAAACATGAAACGTTAGTACGAAACTAACTTTTTAATCATATTCGACCTTGTACTGAACCCAAACACAATTGCACTGTCCAATGAAAATTCCAATTTTATCAAACTCCGCAAAAGCCGGACCTTAAAGATATTATTTTTGGCAGATGTAATTTGCCCACTTAAACTTTTCGCACTTGTTTGTGTCCTTCGAATTAAATTTAGTATTAGATATGGGAAAAGTTTTCAGTTTCTTTTTATTTATTTTCTATTTTTATGCATACATTTTTCTACATTATGTTACTTTTCTTTTCGCTTATTTTATTTTGAAACTGCGGGCGCTGGGAGATTTAATTCACTCTTAATATATATGGAGTATAAAAATTAACTTTTAAATCGTTCAAATCAGTTCTGTTTATTGTTTAAAAAAAAAACTCCGAAAAAAAACCCGAGTTAGTTAAAAAAGTGACTCGAGAAATAAATAACGCGAAAAATAATTACCGTTATCTATTAAAATAAATTAAGATTAAGTGGGTTATGAAAGGTTCTTGGCCAGATCTATTTCTCATTATCAGACTAAATAGCCCAATACCAGAATCTTAATCGTTATGCTGGAAGGGCTTCTTCACCTGAACGAGAACATTTCATTATTTACATTATTCGGACTATTGTCCTCATCTTTTTTGCCATATCTATCATAACGTTTCGGCCGTTGTACGCTCCGCCCTTCTTCGGGTGGTTGGAATGTCGAACCGAACCCTTTATTTCGCTCACTGGGGTAGACTGTTCTAGTTCCACGTGCCATGTTTGATGGATTTCAGTTATCAGGACACATGACACAGTGGATAAAGACGTTGGTTAGATCCAGTGACAGGACCCAAAGAGTGTGAGTTCAATACCCGGTTTCCGAGGGAAATTAACAGGAGATAACTGATAACTGACATCCATCAAACATGGCACAAGGAACTAGAACAGTCTACCCCAGTGAGCGAAATAAAAGTTTCGGTTCGACATTCCAACTACCTGAAGAAGGCCGGAGCGTACAACAGCCGAAACGTTGTGATAGTTATGGTGACAAAGATGAGGACAATAGTCCGAATAATGTAAATAATTTACATAATACCTCATCTCAGAAATATAGACAGAGAACATTTCAGTGTTGTTTTATATTATTATGCATGTTTGTATGTACGATAGATAAGCTTTTAACTTGGATTCAGAGTGAAGTATCTGACCGATTCCCTGTTATTTTAAGCAGGAATCATTTACGTTTCTGACAGAGAAAATGAGGAAACTGAAAGATGGAGAAGACAAAAAGGAGGACATAAATGAGAAAAAGTAGAAGATGAGAGAACTAACATAAAACGAAAAGAATTTCAGGTGAAAACAAACTATAAATAAATATAAATAGATAAGAGAGAAGGTAGAGAGACTAAAGAAAGAGTGACAGGCTTGATGGCGGGATATGATGAGACAATAATCGAAAGAATAAAAAGCAGATAGAAATTTAAAAATTATCATACATTAACATGCTTTGTTGCGAGAGACTTACGGCCATATCGCGTTGAAACACCGGTTCTCACAAGATCACTCAAGTTAAGCAACTTCGAGTCTGGTCAGTACCTATTTGGGTGACCGCTTGAGAATACCAGGTGATGTAAGCTTTGATGATAGCCGAATTCCAATTCCAGTCGCTTTCATTATATTCAGTTACGAGTAAATATCTTAGGAAAGGTATGAGTCTATCTCTCCCCCACAACTACGGGTCAATTAGTATGATTTTTATCAGTCGATTATTATTATCTCCGAAAATTTCTTACAATCTAAAAACATTTTCTACCTGTCGATAAGAAGTTAAAAAGAAACCAGTCGATAACGCGCAAGATAGATGAGTGACGTTGTCCAAAGTAACTGAATATTTTGTTAGACGTACAAAATTTAATCATTGTATACATGACAGAATTTATTTAAAAAAAAAAGGAATTAAAAAGGTAAAAATACAAGAAACGACCAGAATACAAAATAGCAGAAAAAAATGGAGAAAAAGATAGGAGTTTACCTATTAACACACCGCACTCTTCAGAACTCAATCAACGAAAATATTTGTGAATCCCGTATTCCTTTACCGGAAATGGAATTAATCCCTATTTATATAACATGCATAGATAAGAAAAACATGGACTTGTAACAAAAGTTGGATATATTAAGAATGAGAAGATAAAGAAGAAAAAGAAAATAGATTATCTTATTTTAGTTATCAATGCCAGAGAAATTTCCAGGGATCCAGTTAGTACAGATCATATCGACGTAAAATAAATAAATAAATGAATAATAATAATGATGTGCTTTCTTATTGACATGGCGTTCCCTGCAGATTTTAAAGTATCGTTGAAGATCTTCAAAAAAAAATAAATTATCAAAATACGAGGATCTTGAAGTAGAATTCACAAAAATGTAGCACATGAGGATATGAACAATTCCAGTTGTAGTTGGAGCCCTCGGGTTGACTGGAAAAAGGTTCCAATAAACTAACTGAAGAGATTCTTGGTAGCCTATGCCTGAAAGAAATACAAAACATCGTACTCACAAGTACAGTTCACACATTACGAAGAACTTTATGTAAAATGTGAGTGATCTTCGGTGGGTTTTTTTACAAAAATGATCAGTGGAAAATGTCATGAAGCCATTTATGACCTTAAGTCTTTGGTTGGGAAATTTGTATACAACAGAAATCAAAGGAAATAATAATAATAATAATAATAATAATAATAATAATAATAATAATAATAATAAAATACAAGGACCTTGAAATCGAAATCTCGAAAATGTGGCATATGGGAACATCAACAATCCCTGTTGTAGTTGGAGCCCTAGGACTGGTTGGAAAAGATTGCAGTAGACTAATTGAAGTGATTCCTGGAAGTCCATGCCTCAAGGAGATAAAAAAAATTGTTCTGACAAATACAGCCCACACTTTACGAAGGGCTTTATCTATGTAATTTTTTAATTTTTTTTTTTTTTTTTTTGTCAGTGGAAAGTGTCATGACGCCATTTCTAACTTTAGGTCCCTTGGCGGGACCCGGAAAGAAATGTGTAAACGCCAGAAATCAAAGAAAATAAAAATAATAATTTTTTGTCAGTGGAAAGTGTCATGATGCCATTTCTAAACTTAGGTCCCTTGGCGGGACCCGGAAAGAAATGTGTACACACCAGAAAACAAAGGAAATAATAATAATAATAATAATAATAATAATAATAATAATAATAATAATAATGATGATGAAAAGGAACAAACGATATATTCAGACCAAATATATGAATTGCAAAAAGTCATACTTCCTTTATCTCCCGTAGATTTCTCTACATGTAGTGACCAAAATTACATTTTGTTCACCCTGCTTCCATGGTGCTCCATCTGTTTGCTTCTTCTGATATAAAAAGAAGCCTGGAGGCAACTCATAGTTTCTCCCTGGTTATATCTGTTTGCATCTTCTGTTAGCATCTAATGTCTCTTAAAGTCCGTGGTTGACACATGGAAACAGCTCGTAATACAAAAAGCGAAAGCTATCACACTACTACTACTACTACTACTACTACTACTACTACAAATAATAATAATAATAATAATAATAATAATAATAATAATAATAATAATGGCAATAACATTGTATCTCTTTTTATGAGCAGGATCAGCAGACGAGCATCATGGCAGTGTTCAAAAGAAGTTAAATTTATTTTGAATTATGAGGCAGCCAAGGGGAGTTGGCAGTCACATCTATAACATTTCATTTTCAATTTGAGAATAGTACCTTTATAAACGGAATGTTCACTTTCAGATTGGTAATAATAACATTCAATTTGTGAATAGTAACTTTCAAAATGGAAGGCTAACTTTAAATTTGAAAATAGTAACGTTTGAACGAAACGAATAGAAAATATAAAAAAATAATTTTATAGAAGAAAACGATTGAATCTTCATTATAAATAAAGCATGTTAACTAAAATGTCATGTCTTCCGGCTATAAGGCTTTCTTGATTTTGCCTTGGGTGCTTGCAATGAAATTTCGGCAAATTGCTGCTGGCAGCGTTGTAAGGGCAGCATTTATATCATTTTCTTGTGATGGAGCCTATGCTCTTTGAAGCTCAAAGTTAAGTCTTCACTATTTAGAATTTTGGGGGTATTTTCAGTGAATTTCCTCTTTACTGCAGCTTTGAAAATTGACCAAACATTCTCAATCAGAATGAAAGTGACTATTTCATCTGGAAAATTACTATTGAAAATTACTATTGTAAATTACTATTGTAAATTACTATTGAAAATTACTATTGAAAATTACTATTGTAAATTACTATTGAAAATTACTATTGTAAATTACTATTGAAAATTACTATTGTAAATTACTATTGAAAATTACTATTGAAAATTACTATTGTAAATTACTATTGAAAATTACTATTGTAAATTACTATTGTAAATTACTATTGAAAATTACTATTGAAAATTACTATTGTAAATTACTATTGAAAATTACTATTGAAAATTACTATTACAAAATGAAAGTGAACAGTTAGATAGTTTCGAACACTCACGATCGTCTGAACCAACATAAAAGCATTTCTAACTGGGCCTAAATTGCTCGGTTATGTGCAACATCAAGATCTATCACCATATCGAACATATTTGGCTGTGATGCATGTGCCTGTTATACCTGTGTGTAAATTACTCTTTTTGAGTAGATACACATCTACTTATCATCTCTCAGTTGCGTCTCTGTCCTTGGACAGAGTGCGCTCAGGGGCTTCTCTGTCAAAGGACAGAGGGGAAACTGAGAAAATTATACTGAAGAGGTGCCCAACCCTGGGAAACAGCTGCCCGAGGATCGGTGCGCACACCAACGCCGGTTGCGGGAGCTAAGGGAAATCTTTGTTCCTATCCCGGGTGTACGCGCTCGGGTCCCCACCTAAAAATAGACCTTGTATCACATGTCGTCCTAGTGGTGGTGGGGAGGGGGGACAGAGTAAATACCGTATTGCATGTGCCTGCTATAACTTTACCATCATCCTGCATGACTGATGGGTATCTTGAACTTCGTTCATTTGTACCACCCGCATCACTGTTGGCAAGCTGTTCTCACTTTTTTCTGTCTCTCTCTCTATCAAATAATATTAATAATAATAATATCACCATCATTATAGTTATTGTTATTAGCATCAGCAGCAGGTAATTATTAAGCTAAGCGGATAACAAGAGCCTGTAGCAAGTGTTCAATTTCAAAACTTATTCCATTGAATGTTAGTAAGAAACAAGTAGGGAGCAATGAATATGATTGATAGGTAATCTCCGCTCTTCTATATGAGAGCAAATGCTAGACTCTTTACCCATAAATGAAGAGCATACAATGAAATTAAGGTGTGGTTCTACAGAAGAATGCTGAGAATACCATGGACGTAACATGTAAGCAACGAGGAAGTTTTAAGGAAAATAGAAACATAAACAGAATACTTATTCTTAAAATCAGTAACAGTCAGTTGAAATGTCTTGGATACGTAATAAGAAAGGAAGGCTTGGAGAATTTGACACTCACATGACATATTGAAGTCAAGAGGCGCAGAGGGAAATTGCAGAGGGAAATTGCATATGTAAACGTGAGACTATTAGGTAATGCGATAAAAATTGTTTAGATTAACAAATAAGAAGTTGTGGAGAGCCGTGATCATCCACGTTCTGAACAGATACAGCGCTCACAAGAAGTATAGATTTTCCAAGCGTAGCTTAGATGTGGCACAAGGCCGAAAGTATGGGGCATCAAGTGAGGATCGAACTCACTTTTCAGTAGTAACTGATCTAGTAAGACAAGTTTGTTAACCATTATAATACGCAGAGGTGCCCAACGCCCACATGAAGTATGGGTTGGAAGAGTTTTCAAAATTAAACGCGATGCTTATTTTCTCAGTTGGCTTTATTTATTTTTCTGTGATTCACCTGCTAGCATGTTTTTTTTTTCTCGCTTTTTTAACCATTTCTTAGCGAAATAATACGAAAAAACATTGGTTTTTCAACTCTTAAGTGAACATGTCTGTGAGCTAACGCCAGTTTTTTAGATTAAATCCTTTCTCTCTATCATTAATTTTGCATTTGAAATGTTTCTTTGTGGTTTCTTCCTTCCACTGTTATTTAGTTGGTTTTTTTTTCAAATTTCACCCGTTGTTTATTTAAAAGAAACATTCCCCCCACCCCACTTCCAACCAATACTATTTATTTTCTTTAATTTTTTAATTTTTTTTTTAATTTCTTCATACTGGAGTCACGTACAAATAAGGCGACGGTTGACTGTCAAGTGCTGCGACATCACGTGACTTATTTGACGGATTGCGACAAGAGAAATAAAAAAATGTCAGTTAAGAGTGACAAGCAAACAAAACTAAATGATACAAAGCTGTTTAAAATATTGTGTTCTTAAGACGGATTTAATGACTCAATTGCAACTAATTAATACAAGAACAGAAGAATATTGTTGATATTTACAAAACCTTGCTTGTTAGGTGGAGCATTCACAGTCGAATGGTCCGCGAACAAACCCGCTATCGATCGCCATGAACCAAATACTTCAATTATTTACTAAGCCTGCCTTAGCACAAAGGCCCAGTAGCGGAGTCCCTAA